GACAGAACTAAATGCTCTCAAAATGAAGGACAGGTGTGTGCATGCTGTGTGTATGTGTACATCTGTATGTGTATATCTATGCCTGCCTATATGTGTGTGTATTCATGTGCACATGGGCATGTATAAAAACAAGCCAGGAAATGTACACAGTTATTGAATCTAGGGGATGAATACAAGGAGGTTTGTGACATTACTCCTCTACTTTAGGGTAAGTTAGAAAATTTCCATGAGTTAATAGAAAGCTGATGTGTGTAATGTGTGCAGCCGTCCCATGGCATTTTGGTTTGAAATGCCTTCAAAGACAGATAACATTTTTTAATTCCTTCCATTCCACTCAGAATGAATGGCAATCTTCGACAAGGGAAGAGGGCCCAGAAGAGAAGTCCACCCCAATGGGGTCCAGGCCCATCATTTCCACCTGCCAGTCTGACCCTACCTGAAGTTCCCTTCGTTGGCTGTAGCTCCATTCCTTGCCAGCAGCACAGCAGGAAGACAGAGAAGAAGGTTCTCATTCCCCTATTCGCTGCCATGTTCCCTCAAGCTGAAGGAGGGGACCCTTCCCTGGAAGGTCCTCAGCTTTCCCAGCCTTTGTTTCCTAGATACGTGGAATGTCAGGGCCTATGACATCACTACCAGTTAGTGACCTGGGTTCCTGCCCCATTAATGTGTTAGTGCCATGTCACCGACCTGTAACAAAATGGTCAGGAAATGAGCTGCAATCCTGCCTTGTATAGGGTTCATGTTGGAACCTGTTACATCAGGGCTTAGTAAGCTGGGGCCCTGCCCTGTGTGGGGTTCGTTTCCCCAGGTGGTATTGTTGGCCCATACACACTTGTACACACTCCTTGTAAGCCCTCCCTGGAGTGTCTTCAAAAGCCTTTTCTCTTTCATATGGTCTCCCAGCTGCCTACCCCATTGACCCAGGCCAACTTGGCTGCTGATGAGATAGAAGAGCGGGGAAGCGACCTGGACATATAAGGCCGACAGTGCCCTCCAGATCCAGCAGGGACCCCAGGACGTCTGCCTCACCAGTACTTATCAGTTTTTACTGATGGTATCTTAAAGACATGTTTAGATTCTTTATTTTTCGGGGGTGGGGGAGAGTTGTGGTAGGCAGCAGGTGATGAGAAGGTTATACAAGCTTTGGGATTATTCATAAAAACATGTAAAACACAGTGGACTTCATGGGTATCATGGTGGTCCAAAACCCACTAACTAATAAAAAGGTCTGAATAGGGTCCAGGCATGCGATCACAGTACTCCAGACTGTGATTCAGTGTAAGCAACTGGAGACAAAGGCAGACATGGCCAGAGGATATGTGTTCAGTGGTGCAACTGTGACCTGTTACCTGTACAACTGTCCATGTCCCTGCCATGGGAGGGGCATCCCTCCACACTGGCTCAGAAGGACTTAGGTCCAGGCCTAGCTAAGAAGAGTTCCCAGGAGCTTGGCCTGAGTTTGCTCTGGAAGGCAGTGTTTAAGGCCACCCCAAAACATGGTCCCTTAAAGTAACTGATGTGTACTATCACCATTAACTTCGTGGGCTGACTCTGTTGGGGTTAAAGCATGCAGTGTTCCAGTGAGATCTCATGTGTCCTAACTGTCAGGGCCTCCTTCTCATTTTGCAATGGCTCCCTGGGCTTGGTGACTGCCCATCAGAGACATGCTTTTCTGTACTACATTTGTTAATCTGCCACTGACCAGACAAGTCAGGATCTGTCCAGACTCAGAGCTGTACAGAGATGGTGTCTGAGCAGCTCAGGCTACAAAACTTTACTGCTCATGTGCAGAGGTGCTGAGCTCACTGGAGGGAGGGGCCAGGGAGTCTGAAAGGGCTTAATTCCATTCTGGGATTCAAATGGCAAGATTGGTTGCCCCCCCCCCATTTCTTCCGTTCTTTGCTGGCTTTTCGAAAGAACTTTATAATCCTTCCCTCTGCAGAGTTGTTTTCACGAAGTGTTAAAAATCACAAGGGGGTTTAGGGAATTGATCTATGACACCCATTTTCTTAAATGTAGACTTTAATTCACTTGTATAACCGACTTGGGACACGTGGGGTTCCACCCAGCTGCACACTCAGCAGAAGGACTCTGCCATAGGTCCCAAACAATTGAGTCCTTGAATCTTCTGAGACAGTTTCAGAGGAAAGAGGGAAACATTCTTTTTTTAAAAAAAATTTAAGTTTTCTGATTTAAAACATTTTTGAGATAGGGGCTCATGTGTACCATGCTGATCCTGAACTTAGTCTGTAGCCGAGGGTGACTTTGAACTCCCAGGTGGTGAGATCACAGGTATGAATTGCCATTCCAGGTTTAGGACTTTTTAATAAGTAGGTTTTTCCTTATTGCTTTAACTGTTGGAAATATAAGAATTCAGAAACGTTAAAAGAAAAAAGCAATCACACTTACTTCCAATGTTCTACTTGGATAGCATCTTGGAGCATTTTGCTGTTTTTAGCGAATAATATGATAACATACACTCATTAAGGAGAGTTCAATCAACAGAAATACAGAAAAATGGCAGTTCAGAAAATACCCAAGTCCTTGAATGGGCTGTGATCTGTGTGTGAGTGGTCATGATTGGGCCCGCATCCCCACAGACAGCTCCTGGGGCTCCTGGTCTGTCACCTGCTTCCCTCTGGGTTCTGGTATCTTGAGCTTATTTCACACACTGTCCAGGGGAGAAGAGCGAAGAATAAATTTGCCTCGTTTTCCCTCAAGTAGAAGTCATTACCTGCCTCCAGACACTCCTAGGGGAGATTCATTACTCCTGGTGGCGTTCTGGGGAGGCTGTGTGCACTGTGTTGGTCAAGGACCCTGTATGGTCAAATTACTTCCTGGCTCAGTCACTTATCAGTGGATGGCCTGGACATGTCACTTAGCCCCAGCTTCAGTAGCCCCCTTATTCAAGGATAATAGTCCACCCTGGGTGAGCCACTTGTGAGCTGCAGAGCAAAGGCCAGGAGCTCAGTGCTGAGGGCAACAGTTGTCTCTTCAACTCTGAGCTTGTAGTACATCTCCCTGGGTTGGGTGGGGCAGTTCTGGTCTGCACCAGGCTCACTCAGCTGTCCTTAATCACTCCTGCCATTGTCAACTCTCAGTTGGGGTGATGTGAATGACCTGTTGTTCAAAGTTGACTCTGGTGTGTTCTCATGGCCTTGCAAGAAGAGACTTATTGGCAGCCAGGCTCAAATACAGCAGGGTCACTACACCTCTACTGTGCCCCTTCGTGAATGCACACTGGCCTAGCATGGGTGGGAAGCAATGCCCTCAACACCACAGATCCTTAGGTCATCAGACTCCCAATTAAAGATCCTTCTCAAAGCCCTTTTGTGTTGTTTTCACTTATGAAAATATCTCACAGACCCATAATTTGGCAAAATACATACAACCAATTGTTTTAAAAACAGAAGCTACGCCGGCTATTATAATGTAAACTGTTTTCTAAATGAAAGAATTAAAGGAATGTAATTGGAGAAGTATACAAACAGTGGTTAAGACACTGCTTCTGGGAAGACATATTACAACTTATAATCTTCCTTTCTGGGTGTGCGTTGTTGGTGTCTAATCAGGCATGTGAATGGATTCAGGTGTTGCCATCCTATTAGCTGGAAACTGCTCTGTTATTTGCTGAACTGTTTATGTTACACTGTTATTGGCTCCGAGTTTCTCTTTCTCTGGGAGCTCCTTCCTCTGGTCCCTGCAATCTGTATAATTGTCATTCTCACTTTTGTCTCTAGGAAGCTTTAAATAGAGCTCCTGGGATGATGCAGAGTATCAGATCAGAGTTCTGGAGACTTACAGATTAATCCTAGAGATACAGAGGCATCAGGAGGAGTCAGGAACAGGTAGAAGGGATTGGCTCTATCTGGGGTGGGAGTATCATTGTGGCGTTGCAGTCAATGGCCTGTCCCATCCACAGAAGGTCCACAGGGAGAGTCCACACAGTAGAGAAGCCCAGCTGCTTAGCATCTCAAAGCCATTGCAGTATAGGGTGTGTTCTTGGGGGGGGGCATCAACCTTGATCTCAGTGAGCCACCATTAGCTCTGTGCTCCAGGGACCCCTGTACTGAGAGTTGAAAGGATTAGTGACAGAGAGACCTCGAGGGTTCATTCATTCACTCATCCACTCATTCCTTCCCCTCTCATGGAGTCTTTTTTTCTGAGAGGTTCAGAGCTCCTCGTTTCTATTACAGAACATTAGGCTAGTGGTCATTTTTCTCTCCTAGTGCAATGTAATCCAACTTGCTCTGTGACTGGAAGCCCAGCACCACTGAGTGTCTGAGCATGGGATGCAGTGACCAACAGCCTGTGGTCACAGTGGTCAAGCCTGCACTCTCGGATGCTGTTTGTGTTAGCTTTTTTAGCTCAAATAAGGAATTCAATGATGTTGTAAGAAAGAATATTTTGGCAAAATCAAATGCAGTCTCTACCTGGATGCACCCTGAGGGTGAAATTAGATGGTGATGTTGCTGTGCAGCTACTAGACTGTCCTCATGCAAGCTGTGGGTCCCTAGGCCACATACTCCCCTGGCATAATTGGTGAGCCCTAGGCCCTAGGGAACAACACTTGAGGTTGATCTCTGGCTTACACACATGCTCATGTACACATATGCACACTCATGCACACACATGTACATCTACGTGCATACACACACACACACACACACACACACTGACAATCCCAAGTGCCAAGTGTCCTGGCTATGGGATATTTTTCTAAGCTTTATTTTTATTTTTGTGTATGTATGTGAGCCTGCATGAGTTTATGTGTACCACTTGTATGCAAGAGTTCTCAAAGTTTTCTATCATCCCCTGGAATTGGAGTTACAGGCAGTTGTGAGCCACCCAATGTGGGTGCAGGGAACTGAACATAGGTTCTCCACAAGAGTAGCAAGTGCTCTTAACTGCTAAGACATAAGGCATCTCTCCTGCCCCTTTGGGATATTTTTAAAATTTCAAATCCAAACCACAGCTTGGTAATTTATGTAGATATTGAACAGTGCAGATTTTCTTTCTGCCAATACTTGACCTGTGCAAGCAGACCTGGTAGCTACTGGTTCAGTGCAGCTGCTGTGACCAGGGCTCAAGGCCATGGAGGCAAAGCTCAGGGGCCTCCACGGGGCAGAGCAGCTGCTGGAGGCCTCGCCTTACCAGCCTGCTCTGTGAAGGGGATAGTGTTGGCAGATGACAAAGAAGGAAATTGGTGCTACACCCCATAGTTAACGTGACAACACGCAGCTAATGAGCACTTAATGATCCCTCCCTGCTCATTTTTGTCACCCCTTTGAGAGTGTCACTTGTTTTATACTTAGTCTTACAGTGTAGGATTAGCTTCCCACTAAAGTGAATTAGTCAAGGTTCTTTAAAACTCCGAACAAAAGTGCTGAAAATGTGTAGGGCTAGGAAGAGGCTGAGCTGTGCGCTCCCTCAGGCCTTGCCTAGCCAGCACAAGGCCACTTGGGTGTGCCAAATGGAACTGAAACTTTATTTACACTTGCAGAGAACTTCGCCTTACATTAAAAATATT